TCCCACTCTCACTCTGGCACTCTCTGGAAGCTCCTATCCCACCTAACTAACATGACAACAACCTCATTTTTGTGCCTCTGGAAAGTCCTTGAAGTTGGTCGGTAGCAATGCCTCGGTGGTTTGGCCATGCTGATTTTCTCAGATGATTTTTTCGTGATACCAGAATTCTGAACCTTCTCTTTGGAACTGTTTTACCCAGTATTACACATCCAAAGATTTTGTTTTTTCTATTTTAAACAAGGCTTTTAAGAGGTTGCTATTTTCTCGAGATTGCCCCCAGCACCAGCTCCTCCTATTAAAATGGAAAAGCTCCAGCAGCATCAATGCCTTGGTTAGCTGAGCCTTTATCGCCTATGGAGAACATTCCCAGAAGTCCCCAGGCTGTGTTTGTATACAAAATATTTATCTTTTCTTTACATAAATAACAGGGAAGCCTCATGCAACTCTGCATTGTGTTTGAGAAACCTGCAGTCCTACAGAGAGCTTGACTTCTCTAACAGGGTTATGAGATGCTACAAATCACCAGGCAGGTAAACTCATTAAAAGCTCTCTCATTAAGCCCTGGAATGGAAAAAATTGGTTTGCTCAAAGAGCAGGGACCAATCCAAGCTTTTCTGTCTGTGCCTGAGGAGCCTCATGTTTGGGCTGGGCTTAAAAACATTGCAGGCTTGGAGAGAAACTCGTAGAATATTGTGCCTGAAATACACTATGAAATACACACTGTGCCTCATCTTTTAAAAATAACAGAGGCTGGAAGGTGGATGATTCTATTTGAAGGCAGCCTGGCGCTGCAAGTGACAGCCAGGGATGAATAATGGAGGATACAGAGAGTTCTCTGCTCTGCAGCCTCGACACACCCTGAGAAAATGGAGAAGTATTCCCCCCTGCAGCAAACAGGGGCTGAGCAAACACGAGCTCCTCTCCTCAGCTCTTCATGAATTACTTAACTCTCATCAGATCCAGTTTCATCCTCTGCTCTCTGAGGTGCTGCCTGCACATCCAAATCCGTGTTTGCCCAACTGACTCTCACTCGCAGATCACACTTCAGCGTTGTTACACAGGAGGCATCACTTGCACCTTCCCTTTTCCATATTTCTCCATTTTTTTTAAAGGAGAGCTGTCGCAGACATCTTTCATGGAAAATCCTTTCCTTAGGATTTTTCCTCCTGAGAAGCTGGGAGGCCTCAGGAACAAAATGTAAACATTGATTATCTGCTGCTGTGGAATGCAACAGGTGCATCTGTGATTGGCCCATGTTGGATGTTTCTAATTAATGGCCAATCACAGTCCAGCTGGCTCGGACACAGAGCTGAACCACAAGCCTTTGTTATCATTCCTTCTTATTCTATTCTTAGCCAGCCTTCTGATGAAATCCTTTGTTCTATTCTTTTAGTATAGCTTTAATGTAATATATATCATAAAATAATAAATCAAACCTTCTAAAACATGGAGTCAAAACCTCATCTCTTCCCTCAACCCGAGAACACCATCAAAGAGAACTTTTTCCCCAGCTGATCAAACATTACACAGAATATTGTGCCACTGGAAATGTTTAAGTGTAGCAATATTAAATACATGCTCACAAGAAATTCCAAGTATTAGGTAAAGAAATGCATCAGATGGAATTATTCTGGACAGTTAGAACACCTGCATTGCAGTTACATTTAAAATTCAGTTCATACACCAAGCCAACTTTGTGAGTCATGAAACTCATTGTTTTCTCAAGTACATTTGGAACCAGACGAAGGAATGGTGGTTTGGGATCCTTTCTTCTCCATAATTTTATGATGACTTTTGTTAATATTTTCCAATTAAAAAAAAAAAAAAAAAAAAACAACATAACATAGCCCAAAGTTATCACAGATGAATGGAATGCAAAGTCAATCCAAATGCCAGTCAGAAAAGTCATAATGCCAAAAAAAAGACATCATGGAATCCTAGAAAGGTTTGGGTTGGAAGGGACCTCAAAGACCATCCAGTTCCAACCCCCTGCCATGGACAGGGACTCTTCCCACTATCCCAGGTTGTCCAGAGTTTCATCCAAAGCAAAGAATGGAAATTACTGGCAAGAGCTGAGCTAGAAGAAAGGGTTAAAACCAGCTAAAATAGCAACACAGGTATTTAAATCTAGGAAAGCACTTAAATGGCAGAAAAAAAAGTAAAGCTCAAGAAATCCTCTAAAGGCCTTGAAGGCATCATGGTGCCTTCAGTCCTGAGGGATTCATAGATTAGGTTAATGCAGAGCAGCCTGTAAAACATACGAAAAACTGAACCGCCCTTAACTCTGACTGTTAGAACTGGCTCAAAATGCTAATTTTTATTTATTTCTTAGCACGTTATATCCTTGTTGTCTGGTCAGAGCCTATACTTGAAGCCACCTGGAATTTCCCATTCGTACTTGGTTCTCTTTTTGTCTTTTCTTGATGTGTTTATGGATGTGGACAATGGTTTGGGGCTTTTGTGGGTTAAATGGGTCTGACCAGATGTGCTTGGAGGAAAGAGTTTTAAAAAAAACTTTATCATAGACAATTTTTTAAAAAAACTTTTTTATAAACAGTTTTTTTTTTCCAGGAACATTGTGGAGTCTAAGATGACTTTCAATTGCTCCAATTGTTTTAAAAGTCACATCCACTCCCTTGGTAGGAAACTGGAAAATCTGCATGACAGAGAAGTGCCAATTTGAGGTCAGGAGCACAGCACATTGCAGATGGTTCACAGGGAAAGGGTGTGCCCCAGTGGAGAGAAATGTGTTACCACAAGAACTGCAAAAAAAATGACAGCAAGGGAAGAAACAGAAATAACATTATACCATTCCTGAAATCTGGTCTGTGAAAAGAAATGTAGGGATTTCATGTGAAATGAATACCTATACACAAATTATTGTATAATCTCTGTGGTGAGCAAACACACAAATTCAAGTGTGTTAAATGGCTAACGTTAATGTCTGGATTCCTGAAAAGGACTGCAGTAAAACCTTATTATTATAAAGAAGATCACAAACTTTGCAGAAGCAGCAAAAAAGCAGGTTTTTTCTTATTAGCTCTGGTTTGCTATTTGGTATTTCATTAAGAACTGTTCTTTCCACAAGCTGGAGCTGATCACTAATTATCCAGCTCAGCAACCACAGTGATGTCCTGAAACGTGAGCAATTGGGAATTTTCTGTCCTTCTCCATCTGTTAGGAAGGTCACCCATCTGAGAGCTCAAGAGATTTGTTCATTTATTTCCCTTAATTAAAAACTGCTCACCTCTAAATAACGAGACACCTTTCAAGAGTCTCGAGCCGAGCACTGAAAATATTGAAATATTGAAGGCTGCTGGTCATTTAACAGAAATGCCTTTTGTCTTTTGATAATTTAATTATTTTGGTTGCAGTCTGAAAAAATATGCTTGCATGGCCAGGAATTCAGCTTTCCAGTTTCTCCCAGGGCAGGATCCATGTCATCAACATTTCTATGTTCAAAACCAGCATCTGAATTTGAGCTGAACTCCTTTTATAGGCAGTACCTAAATCAGATTAATTTGGGGGGTTTTCTCCACATTAACTTAGATAGAAATGTATTATAAAAATTAAACATACTCAGTTTTCAATAAATAATAATTTCTACCTGAGCAGGAAATCAAAGGAAAAGTCACAGGAGCCATGCTCTAGATAAAAATTCCAAGGTCATATATTAACATGTAAAGGACTGTATTATTTGGATGAACACAACTATGGAACCAGTTCCAACCCAATTCTACAGAATTTAGCTGAATTATGCCACGTTTCAGATGTGCAGTGAAATGGACTCTAAATAAGAGCCAGAAGGAAAGAAAATGTATTTTTGTGTGCCAAAGTAAAACCAAGTTCTCTGTGCTGCCTGCTATGCATTGTAGAAGACAATGATGCACAATAGCAAAATACTCTACAAAAACTGCTGAAAGATGCTCTGGTCATGCCACCATCACAATAAACAGCTGCCATTTAAAAATAAAACCAACTAAATGTCATGAATTTTTTCAAATACTGGCTATTAAAGTGCACAAATGTGAAAATATTCTGTGTATTAAGCAAGTGTAAAGCATTTGCATGGAAGTTGTAGAAGGCTCTTTAGGGGAATGAGATGGAGGATTGAAATCCTGGTGCTGTTTTTCACTGAATCCCTGTGAGCAATGCTCCTGGAGAAGAGCTGAAAAGCACATTTGTGAGCAATGGTTTAACACAGAATTGTGCTGAATGCAACAAGAGGTTATTGCAGAGCTTGTGTACGAATCCTCACAGCTACAAAGAGAAAAAAAAAAATCTTTTTTCAGTGGTTTTGTGGCTGTTTTGTGAGGAGAGGTACAATCACTGTGCGCAGGGACAATGGAGAGGGAGAGCTACAATTCCCAGATGTGTTAACACAGAGTTATTAATGGAACAGCACGTTGTTTAGCAAGTAAAGACTTGTGGGGAAAATTAATCCCTGTCATCTTCATAAAGAGTTGAATATCTTCAGAAAGATGACGGATGACTTTATGTGCCTTTAGTATCTTTAGAGGCCCATTTGTATTGTTTCTTAAAATTGCTCCTCTCAAAATGGAGGCCTCCAAAAGCACTGCCTGGAATATCTCAAGGTTTAGGTTTGATTGGGAGGGATAAAGGGAATATTTAATTTTATCCCTCTGTCTGGAAAAAAAAATATTTTTAAACCAATGGATTTGAAACAGAAGACATACTGTGTTTTTGGAGTTTTTTTTGTTTGGTTTTTTTCCTAATTATGACTTTATTTTATTTTGAATCTTGGTTAAAGACAGTGAACAAATGCCCTCAAGGGATGGACTTGCCCTTCCCAGGATGAGCAATGATCACAGTCCTAATTCATTAACAAAAGACACTGGAAAAATCTTAACCCAAACTATGAGACCACCCAGAAAAATCCAGAATCAGTGGCAGCAACAGATCCTTCCCTCTTGGCAAATGCTGGCCAGGAGAACATGGATTTATATCAGAACAATTCAAATAAAACAATTTTTCCTTACCACAGGAAGCAATACAAGGCTGAAAAAGCAGACCTTCCAGTTGATGGCCATCTTCTCTCCTAATTTTGGACAAGTTTTGCTCATTAACACTGAGATTAGGGCTGAAGCAAAGCCTCTGCTGATATTTTGAGGTCTTCACATCAAGATCTCTGCAACAAAAGAGAGAAATTATTATAAATATGTAAACCACGGAGAGAATGAAAAAGAAATGGTCAGAAAATGGAGAACCCAACACTTGAACTACAAGTGGCACTTATAAGAGATCAACAAGGCTTTTGCAGATGTTAAAGGTGGTCTTGGATATCTAATTTAAAGGCAAAGGACTTGGTGTGATCAGTAACTTGTGTCAAAGAAATGCTGGAACGGGTTCTGTAGCTGCAAACACCTAAATTGTAGCCAGAGGAGGAGAAAGGGTGGATTATTTTGAAAAAATAATAAGAAAAAAAAGACCTGTCTGAAGTTGTGGTTTGCATTTCATGATTTTCAGTAATGTCTTAAAAGCAAAATTGTCTGAGGAATTTTTAGGGGTCTGGCTTCCAAGACCAGTTGTCCAGATAACAAAATCCATTGCCAGACTTGTTAATAATCTGTTAATAAACTTGTTATTAACCTGTTAATAGGCATGTTAATAACCTGTTAACAGGCTTGTTAATAACCTGTTAATAGGCTTGTTAATAACTTTTCTGAGAACTTGGCAGTAGGGGGCAAAAGAATGAATTGTAGTCTCAAGCTAAAGATTCATCCAGGACATAATCAGGAATGATTTATATGAACAACAATGTCATCCATATCTGTGATTTCCATTGCTTGACCTCTGCCTTGAAAGAATTGAGGACTGGGGGGAATGTGGTTTAAGATTTGGATTTATTTCTCATTATCCTAATTTGATTTGTAAAGGAATGATTTGTAAAATAACTTTTAGAACCAAAGGACACTCAAGTTTTATACTGACACTCAAGTTTTATACAGACTGCAACACACTGCCAGGACATCAGCATTTAGAAAGGAGAGAGTCTTCCAATTAAAAAAATAAAAGAGGAAAATTAATCTCTCACTAAATTTTGGGAGAACAATGATTCATGAAATTCACTCTAAACTGATCTGTTTTCTCCTATCCTCACTTGATCAGTCACTCACGCTCCGTTCTGGCACTGAATTTAATTACTTAACTGTATTTCTGATGGTTTATCAAATAATGAGCAATTGATAAGATCTCAGCTGAGGAGGACAGCAAACATCCCTGGTGACATTCAGCCCTGAGGATTCGGAATTCCATTAACAGCAGCAAGACAAAACCAGACAGAGGCATTAGCGGCCACTGGGTTTGAAATTATTTCCTGATCATTTGCACTCCCATGTGCAGCTCAGCCCAGAAAAGCCAGAGAGGGGTGGGGAGGTTGGATTCTGCCCTTTCATTCTGTAATTCATCAGGAAATGATCAAAATGCAGTGGAAGGGTGGGAGATAGATGGACACATAGAGATGCCCTGGGGGAAAAGGGGTGGTGTTTAGAACACCTTTTTACTTTACCCTGGCAATTTCTAGGTTTGAAAAGTAGAGGGTGACTGTTTTCTGTCTTGTCTGAGTGTCAAAGGAACCTCTAAAGAGACAACAGGAACATCTGAAAACCATTCCATGGCTTTTCTCTCACATATTGCAGGGAAAATAAAAGACTCTACTTCATTTTTTGCCTTCAAGGTAGTCATGGAAACCTGCACCAAATACTGGGCTGAGGCCTTGGTGTCATCCAGGGAGACTGGAGTGTTTATTAGGGAATAACAACTACCAGAACTTCTGCCCTGAACCTGCAGCAGAACCTTTTATAATGTTGAGCTGGTCCTGTCATGTATATTATACATACATTCAGAGTCTACCTATTACTAATTAAGTGCTACTTATCTCTATTATCAATTAAAAGGTATCTCTATCACCAATTAAAGCCCAGCTAGTTCCCCAATAACTATCACCTATGTTATACTAGAAAAATAAACTTTTTTAGAATATATAGGTAATGCTGATAAAGCATTACCACTCAGTGTTGAGAAAAAGAAATAATTATATCAGTACTTGATTTGGAAGGGAAGCTTGAATGATTATATTTTCTTCTGATGTCACTGGTTGGTAAATCCCATAATTTCATTACTGCTGCTTCATGTGGTTGTTTTATCTGCATCTGCCACTGTAATTAAAATTAGTGAAGTCAGAAGAGCCAATAACAGAGGGGCTGCACCTTTCAGTTATGAATAGACAGTTCCTCAAAATAATCTTCAGTTATCTATGGTGAAACAGAAGGGCTGTAGAAGTGTCTGAGACTAAAAATCAGCTGATTGTTGCTAAAACAGAATGGGTTTCAGGGGTTTATATCAAGCATGGCTGATATACAGGAAGAAGAAAAAAGAAAAAGAACATTGTTGTGGTCACCTAGTGACTTAAGAAAATAATTCATCCCCTCTGAAGGTGAATTTGTCCACTGGAAACACTTTCAGTGCCACAGCAGATTCTTTATGAAAGCATCTGAGTTGCTTCAAGGGCAGGCTGGAAAAGCTCTGGCAAAACTTGTTCTGCTGCAAGTCCCCATTTCTTTCTCCACCTAAAAAGGTCTCTGGAAGCTGAGACCTTTTTAGATGGAGAACAATTCCTCCACGAGAAGCCCATAGGTGCACAATCTGATGTCAATAATGAACATAACCACACAGTGAGACCTTTCTAGGTATGATGGGACCACTCCCAGGAGGCATAAAAGGATAATAAAACACTGCTCAAAAGGATAAAACGTCCTCATATTAAACAGGAACTAAATTGTTATACAGCATCAGAGAGTGCACCCACTGGATGAATGAAGTTGAGGAACTTTTCTGATGAATGAAAGAGGATTTTTTGTGGCTTTCCAAGGCAGCTATGAGCTCTTACAGAGATCTCACCCAAAATAAGCCCCCTGATCTGCTGGGCTCCTTGCTGTGGTCCTCTGGGACATGTGCCAGTGGTTTCAAAGGAAACCAACACATTTCAAAATGACCCACAATGGTTTAGACCAGTGATGGTCCAATGGGAATTCATCACTTAATTCATCTCACTTCAGTGTCCAGGGCCTTCTATCCCATCCTCTTCCTGCCCCATGACCAAGCTCCTGCCCAGGTGAGGGAATCTGAAAGCTTCTGACAACGTGCAGGAGAAATTGAGGTTTTGCAGACTGAATACTGTCGCAGACATCTTTTATGAAAAATCCTTTCCTTAGGATGTTTTCTCCTGAGAAGCTGAGAGGCCTCAGGAACAAAATGTAAACATTGATTATCTGCTGCTGTGGAATGCAACAGGTGCATCTGTGATTGGCCCATGTTGGATGTTTGTAATTAATGGCCAATCACAGTCAGCTGGCTTGGACTCTGTCCAAGACACAAGCCTTTGTTATAATTATTTCTTTTTCTATTCTTAGCCAGCCTTCTGATGAAATCCTTTCTTCTATTCTTTTAGTATAGTTTTAAAATAATAAAGAAAATAATAAATCAGCCTTCTGAAACATGGAGTCAGATCCTCATCTCTTCCCTCATCCTAAGACCCCTGTGAACACCGTCCCAGAATACATTTCAGAACAGTCAACCACCCCATGCACAGCTACTCCACAGCTTCTCAGAGACATGAAGAACTTTTCCCTTTGAAGAATAAACACAGGTGGAGAATTGCTGGGTGCAAAATATATGAACAGGCGATTATGAAATCCTATAATGGCTTGGAGTTGGAAGGAACCTTAAAGATCATCATTCCAACCTGCTGCCATGGACAGGGCCACCTTCCACTAGTTCAGATTTCTGGCCTTGGACATCACAACCTCTCTGGGCAGCCTGTTCCTGTGCCTCCCCAACATCACAGCAAAGAATTTCTTCCTATTATCTAATCTCAATCACCCTCCTTCAGTTTAAGGCCATTCCCCCTTGAACTTTCATGACACAAAAAGTTCCTCTCCAGACTTCTTTGAACCCTTTTCGGCACTGGAAGGTGCCCTGAGGTCTCCCTGGAGCCTTCTCTCCTCCAGGATGAACAGTCCCAACTCAGCCCAAATTCACAGGAGAGGTGTTCCAGCCCCCTGACCAGCTCTCCTGAGGCCTGGAACATTTTCATTATTTTTCTATCTTTAGGCTCTCAATAATACACTGCATTTTATGATTTCCCTCCTGTAAGTTCCTAAATGTGGTATTCCAGCTACATCATTTATTGAAAAGGCACGGTGACCCTTCCTCACATTCCTGCTCACCAGCTATGAGCAGAATTAGGAAATCAACCTCTCAGTGACCCAGGACATGTCTCCTAATTTTAGAAACCTGGGAGAGACATCCTCACACATGAGCTCATTGTCAAGTTTCTTTTTTTATCAACAGAGAGAAGCAGACATGTGAAGGAAGTGTTTTGTCTGACCTATTTTAACTATCTCCTTTAAACTTCCAGCTCCTCTCCCAGAGTGTAAAGGAATTCTGAGCTTGTTTGTTGACATCTACACTGTGGGTATCTAAATCTGGACAGAATAATCCCATCTCCAGTCTGAAACACATGGATCAGCAATATGAAACCCAAAACAGTGAAGTTTCACCTACCACAAGGATTGAGAAGGAATGGGATTGTTTTGGATGTCAATAAATTGATGCTGATATATTTAAGGCAACAGAAAAGCTAAAAGAAGATTTACACCAGACAACAAGAGCTCTAAAGCTTTCCATGGAAAATACTCCATAAAGAGCAACCCTACTAAGGCAAAGGAAAAGAACATCATGATCTTTCCACTATGTTTAATAAAGTAGTTATTATTTCTTGAAGTTTAAATATTTTGGGTTGATTTTTTTTACCTGTTTTCTAAATTTGCTGAAATTAAAGCTTCTTGATGGGGTCACAGCAGCCGAGGGTCTGACTCTACTTTCTTTTATAAACCAAGACTTTTATTCTCTCTTTATGTAGTTAATTGGGAAAGTCCCCCAAGTCCTTGTTCCCAATTCTGTTGTCAGTGACAAAACAAGACTCAAAAGGTCATTACATCAGGAGGTCTAAGAGGTGGATTTTCAGAAAGGATTTACTGCTACAGAGGACAAAACCCTTTTCAGCTGCACATGAATGTCTTGAGGGTCTCAGGCAAAAATGGCACACCTTTGCCTGAAAGAGTTGTC